TTTACCATACCAAGACACCCCCTCCAATTCTGGATTGTATTTTGAGGAAGTTTTAAAGAGTTCAGGAACCTAGAGCGGTAGAATAGCGAAAATCTTGCTGTATTCTGGTGTTAGTACCAAAGTAATTTCTATACTTTCATATGACACAAACTGAATTTTTCGAAAAATGTAAAAACAAAGATTTTGATAACATCAATTTTAATCTCGCTTTGAAGTTAGATTGTTTACATTCTTTTCATTCTTTCACATCTGATACACTTTTTTCGATTTTATTAAGATCTAAAACAGGACACACATTGATAACAGCGATCTTGTAATTTCTGAAGTTTTGTTCTGTAAAACTGTCCTTATCTGTATGTCAGCAGAAGTTTGAAGGGAGTCACTCATAAGTTAAATTCCGCTTGATCTAGGATGGGTTAGTAACAATCTCTATTGTTTCCCATATCATTGGTAAACCAATGTTAATTAGGAAATGAAATTAATATGTTTCTTAAATTGAAGGCACATTGTTTTTTAGGTAGTCATTTACTCTCCTCCACAGAGGCTATTGGGGAGGGAGAAATGGTGAAGCTGAGGGAGGGAGAAATTGTGAAGCTGCGGAGAATTTTCTTCCTTCTTCTCCTTCACAGTTCCTCTACTTTTTCCTTTCTTCCGAAGTTCCTTTTATCCTGTCCTTTTTACCTCCCAATCTCCCTCCCCAAAAGCCTCTGCGGAGGAGATAGTAGTCATTTAATGCTGCATTGAAGACCGTCTCCATGTTCGATCTGTTTCTCGAGTCAATAGTTATTTCCTGTGCGATCGTGTTAAATTTTATGACTTTGGTCCTCAGTGACAGCTTAAGCTAAAATTGGGCCTATGCTGCGGCACAAAAGGGCCTATTTAGAAAAATTCCAACCTGTTTCCTTCTGAGCCTATTTCATCGATGGGCCTATTGCTGTAACACCTATCATTATATTGATATCAGATTCAACTAACATTTGAAAATTTGGTCGTTTTTTCCAGGTACAATGTTATTTTTCGGTTCCTTTTCGGGGTGAAAAGGACCCAGTTGGATCTACAGACTTTATGGGCACTTCAAATGGTGCGAAAGAGATCAAAGGATGACAGCAGGGTAATAGGGGCGGCCAAGACATGGAGCTTGAGAAGGAAAATGGCTTTTCTTATCGATAATCTGCAATATTATCTCCAGGTATTAACTTATTTTTATTTCTTTTATTAAAGAATACGGATAAATAAGTTCCTACTTCGTAGTTTTCATTGAGAGATTGGTTTAAATTTTCTGCCAAAAGAACTTTATTTGGTGTTTAAATCTAAAAATTGCAATAAATTGAAGTTTTACTTGAAGGAGGGATTTTTCCATGCAGGTAACGCTGATTCTGCGGAGCCAAAAAAGATATGGCCTATGACTACAATCCCTGTTAAAAACTAATGTTGATTGTAGCTATCTGCAACAAATCCATTGACCCCACAGAATGCCTTTTATGGTCTTCACTTCCAAGTTTTTTGAAAGACTGTCGCACAATTCAAGAATTTAAAAGAAAAAGAAAACCGTGGAATTGCGATTTATGCACCTGCAGATTGTGTAAAGTTTTTATCAAAGATCTCGGGTTCTGCGACCAAAAGCCAGGTGTCTATTTTCGGTATGTGGATGACACATATACTATTTTCAAAACAGAGGCTGAGTGTGATATTTTCCAAAAACGCCTTAATGGCCTTCACACAGCCCTACATTTTACATTTGAAAAGGAAGAAAATAACTCCTTGCCATTTCTGGATGTTTTGGTTGAAAAATCTGACACTGGATTTCTCACCAGTGTATACCGTAAACCCACATTTTCGGGGTTATACACTCGATGGAGTTTGTTTTGCCCAAAACAAAGAAAAATCAGCCTCATCAAAACGCTTACACATAGGGCACTGATGATTTGTTCCAAGTCTAAACTCGACTCGGAACTTGAAAAACTAACTAAGATTTTTCTGGAGAACGGCTATCCAGAAGATGTTATTTCAGTTTACATTAAGGAGAAGATAGAAAATTTCTCGGCTGACGTAAAATTTGGTCCTCAAAAGTGCCCGGTCTATCTAAAACTACCCTGGATCGGTAACAGCTCCCTACGTTTTGAAAGCCAAATAAAACAGGCCATAACAAATTGTTTCTTCGCGGTTAACCCACGTGTTGTTTATAGTACAAAAAAGGCCCTTCCGTCCATTCAAAAGGACTGCGTTCCTGCCACAAAAATATTCTGTTGTTTATGAATTTACGTGCCAGTGTGAATCTGGCTACGTAGGACGCACCACCCAAAGATTGGAGGATAGGATAAAACAACACGTTCCATCTAATATTAGAAACAAAACACATCCCCAAAGAGAACAGCCACTACGGTCTTGCAAATCTAAAATTACAACTAAAACCTGCGATTCTGCTATCGGGCAGCATTTGCTAGAAAACCAAGATTGTGCAAAAAACTATAATGGCGACATGTTTCGGATAATTGGTAAGCCCGATCGTCGTTACACCTAGCAGTTTTAGAATCTATCTACATAAGCACGAAAAAAACCGCTACTGTGTAGACAAAAGGAGTTCGTTTTCACCTTAGGACTCCACTGGTAACATTCTAATAGGCAAGCGGCACTGATTGGTCAACCTTTACAGTCATGTGCTCATGTTTCTGATTGGCCTATTTCGATCCACAACTGGGTATATAT